CCCATTCTCCTCACTCCTCCCCCAATCCGGCTCCCCCCCCCTCTTGTCAGGCCCACACGGAACCAGAGCTCTTCAGGTTCCAGAAATCAGGTTAGTTCCATATAAATCTAATATCAATATGGCGGCTCCCCATTCGGCGTCAGTTGTCGCGGAAGTTCTTTGCACATTCAATTATGTGAATGAAATGACCGTCCTTCGTTCAATCCGGGCTTTGGAATTCAGCTTTGGACTATATTCTCTTTGACTCTGAGTACAAAATAGTCATCGCTAGTTTGTGCTTTCGAATTTTGAATACAAAATATTAAATTTCTTTTAGGAGGTAGAGTAGGAAACGTTTAAATTAAATTAAACTGAAATGTTTTTTTTTAAAAACAAGCAACTTAATTTAAGGTTGCCTAAGCTTAAAATAAAATATGAATTATCATTTAGATCTAGTATTGTAAAGATTACGTGGTTCGTTCCCTCTGCTTCACATGGGTTCCAAAGGAATGAAATGATGATGATGATGATGTTGATGTTGATGATGATGATGATGATGATGATGATGATGATGATGATGATGATGATGATGATGATGATGATGATGATGATGGTGGTGGTGGTGATGATGATGAAAATGATGATGATGATGTTCCTTCTTATATCCATTATCATAGGCAAATAAATAAGAGCTAGGAGCTAAATCCTATGCAATGTTAAAGTGACAGTTTACAGCAGTTTAAAATGATATCTCACAGCAGTTCATTTATCAGCTTACGTTATAATTTTGACATCATTCCACTCATTAAAAAAATAGCCTCATCAGAACTCCCCTATCTTCGCTCCGTCAACTTTAATATCGTATCTATTTTTGTTTAATTATTTCAAACAAATGATCAACAGATGATTACCCTTCTATGATAATTACAACCATTCCTAGTCTATTTCCGATATTGGCAAGGGCTATTACTCATACGTAATGTATATATATTTTTTTAAATTTTGGGGGTTAAAAAGGTCATGTGTCGTAGGGCTATCAAATCTATTTACTTCACTGTCAATGTCAATTTGCAGTTTCAAACAGACACGCCGCTACACGCTAGAGAGAAAATGCATTCCCATCAACCGAATCTGCCTAATTGGTGTCCAACTAACGTTTCGCAAAAAAAAAAAAAAAAAAAAAAAAAAAAAAAAAAAATTATATAAAAATTATGCATTTATGTATTCATATGGGTACAACCTATCTCATAATGGATTTTTTTTTTCGTTTATTTTAATTTAAAAAATGCACCGCAATTGCGAAACAACGAAACAATACTCAGGGAGAAATAAAATAAAAAAATTGCATGCGATGAGACTGCCTGTTTGTTATACGTCAAATCAATGAAGCGCCCCCCCCCCCTTCCTCCCTTGTTCGTTTTGCGGTAACCTACTCGCTCGCTCAAGGGAAAAGCTACGGTTGATCCAGTTCATCAAAAGGTTAGCCATATTTGAGTAAACGTCCTAAAAAATAATTACATTTCGCCGTTCTGATTCCCCAAAGTGTCCGCTGTTCCTAGTGGCTCCGTACGATTATTTTAAAACATTCAATGGGTTTTTTTTTCTCCGCATTCAAAGCGCTGGCATCAGTAGAACAGGGGTTGTGGGGAAAAAAGAACAAAAAACGAGTAGCGCCCCCTTGTGGTTTCGACTGCCGACGCTCAAGACCAACCCATAATATATTTTGAAAGAAGCAATTAATGTAATTGCCCATATATTTTGTAACCAGAGGACGAAAAAAAAATCTTATTTTTTTATCCTCAGTGCGCCCGAACGGTGCATTACTTCATAAAGGTTTTCAGACAACAAATCAATCGAGTGGGGGCTTTGTTCGCTGCGCGTGACCTTTGAGACTTCCGGTTTCCGTGGACATAGTAATGGCCGTTTACTCTACTCCTGCGGTTCAGAGTATGCTCCTGTTGTGATGCATTACCGAAATGATATGTTTGATGGGGGTGGGGGTTGCAAGCAGTAGGGAGGGGGGGGGAGGCTGTAGAAGTAAGCAAAAATGACTAGCTAATTTTTTATACTAGGGCGGAAAGAGTTAAAGCAAGTGTAATGCCGTTCATGCTTGAGATAAAATCATCCAGCGATTGGTCAAAAAACGTTTCATGTTTTACGTTTGAGAATATGTAGAATAGGGTCAATTTATTGGTCCAACTTTTTTTTTTCCATTTTTGGATTTCAAGTTAGAAATGGACTGTAATGAGACTATTGTAAAGTTACACTTTTTGACCTGGCTTTCGATGGAACAGATGAAGGAGAGTTCATCAGTTTCTGTGACCTCAAAATATGAAGGTGTAGTGTGGCTAGTTGTACGGTCTTAAAGGTGCACTGTTGTAGATTTACTTCTTGCAAATTTCAAAGCATCGGAAGTTGTTGCAAACATATTCTACTTTGCAACCCGTTTTCAAAAAAAAATTGCGCTAATCTGCAGTTTTTGGAGTTGTGATTTAGTAGGCTAAAAAGTTGCAATTGTTTGTAGATTTTTTTGTTTGTTCTTTTGGCGTTGTAAAAGCTCAAACAGTTTATTAGTATTTTCTAACTCATTTAAGATAATTAATTTTAGTTTCTATAATTTAACTTACATTTCTAAAGTAATCACTTAAAAAATACAAAATGAGTTAAGTAAAGACTAAGGCTGAGATAAGAATTTGTGTTCTTTTCCTGTTAGTAAGCAGTTTTCATCTCTTTGATGAGATTATCGCATTATCATATTGCTATTCATTTAAGTCGTTTACTTATATACACAGAGGCGAGAACCTTTTTATTACAATGTAGTTTACTGTTAAAAAGTGTTATCTTTGATTTTTTTTTTGTTCAGTTAAATTTAAATTTTATTTAATTTCAGTTTTTTTTTGTGAGATGTGGCATGTTATAATACATATTTAACTAAGTTAAACTCTTCTTCTTCTTCGTTCTTAATTTTAGTAAGTTAAACTGATTCCTTGATATTAAAACCACTTAAATTTAGTGTGTTAATAAGTACTTTAAAAAAATCAGTCATTAAATATTATGATATTTCAAATTTAAATTAAAATACAAAAAAAAATGGTAAAAATGCCAAAACTCATGAAAGAAATAAGACTATTTTTGTAGGCCTGTATCTATTAGTCGATATTCATACAAATATTTTTAGTAGTTTGTCAGTTCTACTGTAAACTTTTCAATAACCATTATTATAAATTTTAACCTCACACTAAACCCGACCATAGGTCTAACAGCGATACCGACAGAATAAAAAATCCCCATACAACAATGTATGCTCCCCCCCCCCCCCCACACACACCCCAGCCGTCGAACACGACTAACCCCGACCCTAGGCCTAGACAGAATAACAAAACTCCACACTGTATTGCCACCCCCACCCCCCCCCCCACCCCCCACCACCCCACCACACCCAACCGGCGAGCCTGACACTAACCCCGACCCTAGCCCTAACAGCGACGCCCGCTAGAATAACAAAACTCCATACGACACTGTATTGCCTCCCACCCTCACACTAGCCCCGACCCTAAACCTAACAGTTACATCAACAAAATAAAAAAAAAATCACTATGCGACTCTGTGTGGTCCCTGACATCAGACCCACAAGTACCAAAAACAGAATCAACTTGAAATAACTCTCCACAACCTGTCCCCAAGGTTAAAACGTTCTCTCAATGACATGCGTACTCAACTACTAACACGTGCCTGCACGTGCCCCCGTCCACAACCGACCCACCCCCTCCCAATCCTCCCTGTGTGACAATCCTACCCCCACCCCCCTTTCGTCCTTACGGCCACAGACGTGTATCCCAAGTAGTCCATCACGCATCAAATCTACAATTACTTGGTACTAATCCCACGGGAGACAACCGGCGGTTTCTGGCAGGGATGACCTCCCCTTGATCAATACAAGGGGCCGCAATCCTGCTTATTTATTTATCGGGCGTTTATCAAATAAATTCCCCAGTTTGTAGTCTGTTTCTCTTTATTTGCTTCCCGGAAAATTCGCAGAAATAGAATGATTTGGCGACCCCCCTGCAAAAATTAGATGCGCGCTGGTCCCGGGTCTGGTTAGTTTCAAAGGCTGGGACCGACTCCCACAAGACTCGCTGGAAGAAGGGTTGGATTCAGACCGGGCTGAGCCCTTAGCAAGGGAGATTAGTGATGATGTTACACGGCGTTTCCCGTTTGTAATATCGATCATGGTCTTAGATTACCTCCCTCTGTCATTATCATGATTACTTCCCCTGACTTCTGGCTGAATTTTTTTTTTTTCTTCACAATCTGAGGAGGGGGTGTGTGATGGATTGGTGGAAACCGCTGCGATGATGAAGATGAGGAGGGTAAAGACAACAATAATATTGCAGCATATATCGGGTGCAGTTTTTTCCTACGTTTTTTTTTAGATGACTTTTTTTTTTAGGCTGACGAAGTTATATGAGATAGAAATAGTACAGCATTTGCTTTTTTTCCCAGATGCGGAGATCAAAGGGAAAGAACTCATACATGCACACACAATCACATTGAAATACAAGCGCAAAAACACACACAGAAACATGTGCATATTTTGTTAGAGCAACAAATAAAATAGAATAAGACTATCGGGTAAAGTGTCAACAAAAAAAATAATTGACGAAATGTTGAAGGTAAAAAGTTTTGACACCAATTACAAACGCTGTACCGTTATGTAACTGACACACCAACCTACAATACACACCCATCTTACACTATTCTATCAATAACTAACACACCAACCCACGACACACACCCAAATCCCATTAAACTAACACACCAACCCCCGAAACACACCAAAATCCTATAAAATTAACACACCAACCCACGACACACACCCAAATCCTATAAAGCTGACACCCCAAGCCATGAAACACACACAACTCCCATTACAACCCTGTTTTCTAAGTAACTGACACACAAACCCTAAACACACCGACTGATCTATAAATAACTGACACAGCAAACAACACACTACTCACCCAGAAGATGTAATCCCGAAGATGTATGTGGTGGTGTGTATGGCTGTCTGTACCGTGCATCATTATCTGCATAGAAAAAAAACAACAAATTTCTGAATTATAATCGGACAAAAATGTGATTGATATCATTAAAGCCTCAGGAATAATTCTGAAAAGAGAAAAAAAAAAGAAAACGAGGAAGAAAGAAATGAAAGCAATTACATTTAAAGTGACAAAAAATCGCTAGTTATGCCACCGCTATTTAGAAAATATGAATTATAATTTTTGTTTTGATGTTTAAAATTTACCGTGACGTAAAACTATTTTTGGAGCCTCTGGTGTTTATTAAAGCTACGACTAATTATTTTTATTTTTTTATTGTTACCAATCGCTGAAAAGAATGAACAAAATTAAACAAAACATGATTTATTTCCATGTGTTATTTATATTTTTAACTACTTTATTTCACACGTTTTTTTAGAAATATATTCCTTAATGAAATTAGAATTACTTTTATCTTTGATATTGTAATATATTCTTCATATCTTGATGTTGATGCATTATATCAAAGGCAAAACATTCAATCGTAATTAGCAATTTAAAAAACAAACATGTATCTCAGCTCTGGTTAAAATGCGAACCAAAAATATAGATTAACTGCAAGCAGTATTTTTTGGTATTTAGATCTAATTCTAATTTTTACTTATCTTATAATATAGTACTTAAAAAATGGTTTTAAAAAATTATAATTAAAACAAACGTTTCTAAATATAAATCAGTTGTTTTTTTTTTTAATGATTCTGTAACATTATTTCATTATCAAAATATTCTGAGAAAATAACAATACAAGCTTGACGTGGTAAACCCTCACTTTACTATCCCAACCAAGTAGTTTGGAAGCGCTAAACGATAAAATAAAAATGTGAGATTTGTTTTAACAATTCATTCCACTTGAATGGATAACAATGTTAGCAGAAGCTTATTTTAATCTTAGTGTTTTTCCGTTTTCTATTATTATATTTTTTTAAAGGTAGCCTACTTTTTTTTTAGAATTTTATTTTTGCATTAAAAAAAATATTAAAATTTACTTTAAAGTGTGTGTTGGGGGGAGGGGGGGGGGGGGCGGAAGATGCAGGGCGTGTGAAAAACACGAAAAACATAGAATCAGTTACCGAAACTGCGTAAGTAAAAAATAAACATTTACGATAAACATTATAAAATATATATATTTTAAAAATAGATTACAAAATCTTGTTTCAATTTTTGTTTTGATTTGCTGCTGTCGATTAACTTAGAATAATTAGTCTGTATTTTTCAGCGGTGTTAAAAAAATATAACCGCATCACATAATTTTTAATTTGGAAAAATCTTTCCCTCCTAAAATATTCCAAACCGGCAATGTTTTTAGCCACCTTCAATAATAATTTTTTTGTTTCAAAAGAAAAAAAAGAACTGGCTATATCAATTTTCACATACATATCTCGTTTCCCGTCGCCACTCACCTCGGCGCCCTAGACACCAGAATGGGTTGTCACCTCTGGCTCCACCCTCCACACCCACTCACCCCCCAACCCCCCCTCGCTCCCCGCCTCCCGTTTCCACGAAACTTTAATTGTTGCCGTGGAGTGTGATGGGTAATTAGTCTTCGAGCATATCGTTTTCATTTGGGCCCATCTGCCCATGCCGTCCCCTTCACACCCTCGCCGTTCCCCCCCCCCACCCCCACACCCTCGTTGGATCGCTTTGGGATATAACGGAACCGACGCCATTTTTTTTTTTTTTGCAAAAGCGGTTTTTTCTCAGTTTGAACGAAAATTATTATAACAGCTGATCAAGAGATTTCACATATCAAACTAAATGTGATTGGATCGTTGGCCACACTTCTTGTTATAAATGTGGTCTGTGTGTATGGACATGTAAATCACATATTGAGTTAAATGTGATTGTGTCGGTAGGCTACCCTTCTTGATTATAACTATGGTCTATGCGTATGGATATGTAAATCATACATCGCATATTGAGCTAAATGTGCTTGTGCATGCCCACCCAACACTATGGTTGTAAATGTAATCAAGGTAGCCTACATAGTCTATAAATTAACCTATTTTATAGAGTACAAATCTACACAAAGGCACATATGTAAAACAAAAGTGGTTAATGTTATTCAAAATTACACAATGTTAAATGATAGTATTATTTGTTTTACAGATTATGAAGGTAAATGTGTTTTATTACAATATTTAAGCTTTCTCTATTTGATGTTATACTTACGTGTTTACAAATAAAAGTAAAGTTCCATTTTTTAACCCTGGCTATTCATGGGGAAAGTGGGTCTACGACAAATTCCCGAAAGACACTTGCCCGAAGGCCGATTTCCCGAACGTGAATTTGTCGCATTCGGGCAAGTGTCCATTCGGGCATTTGTCGCATTCGGGCATTTGTCGCATTCGGGCAAGTGTCCATTCGGGCATTTGTCGCATTGGTCTGTTTCTTTGAACTCAGTATATGAACTTTTGTAATTCTATTCAGATAATTTCTTGAATAGAACTAAAACAACAATCAATGCATGACTCTGATGTCAAGCGTGGTATGAAAAAGCTACTACCCCAAGACCACTGGTTGAAAAAGAGCAGTTGATTTGATTTTGTTTAGAAGATTTTAAAATACTTAGATCTACATTGGTTTTGTAATAAGTTTTTCATATCTTCAAAATAATTTGTAAACGATCAAATAAACGGGAAGAAGTAGCAGCCAGATCTTTACATACAAAACATTTTCGTGTACTGAATCTTCGAATGGTGTTTTTACTCATTATATTTATCTAACTACCTTTCATTCAAATGATGTGTAACACCGACTTACAGACAGATAAAAACACAAGCATACAGTTTTCAGCACATTATTTGAATGCACTGTAAAAATAAAACAAGCATGATACATCCTAGTACTTTTAGTTTCGTTACTCTTAATTTATACTAAATCATCGAACGTTTCTCTTCCAGTCCAAGGTTTTTTTTTTTTTTTTTTCAATTCTGTTTCATCATCTCACCATTCGGCTTGTAGTATTTATGCGCACTGTTCAGACCCAAATTTTTTTTAAAGAATAAATTTCACTGTTTTATCGACCTTAAAATTTGGGACCACTTCCCTTCAACGCAGCCCCCGTTTTATGTCCCTCCTCGGAGACCGGGTACTATGGTGTAGCGCGCGCAAACACCAGACGCACCGGTGTGAACGCGCCGAGACGCCAGGCGCGAACGTGCGTAGAGTAGGTGTCGCGCGCTGTTCATCACGTGTGAATGCGCGCCGGGTGCGGTGTGAACACTGCTCAGTGCAAATGGCTCTCTGCCCCACCCCAACACACCCCCTCCCACTGTGTTCACCCTGTTCTTTATTCGTTTTGTCTTCCAAGGAACTATTCGGGAGTTTGAGATTTTCAAGTTTCATTGTTTTTTTTTGGGACCCCCGTTGTATTTTATTACGATTTGCATTAACCTTACTACAGCTTCCAATTTTATTTAGTTATTTCGTCAGAACAACACATACCTACGATGTAGTTAAAAAAGTCACATAGGGCCCTTCACCAAAGAGAATAATTTAACACGTTTTTTTTTCACTCAAAAAGGTCTTTTAGAACTTGAATTAATTTTTAAATACGTTGACCATTATCAGCTAATATTGCTATAGCAGAAAAGGCATACATCAGAGGAGAATTACCTCTTTTCAGTTAAAATTTACTTCTAGATATTTATAGATATATTATTGCTATAGAGGAAACTGAAATGCTGATTTAAAAAACAATGACTTACTCTATAATAAATTAAGAACACAAAAAGAAAAAAAAACTTTTTTTTTCCAAATTCTAGCCAAACGACAGATATTTCAACGTCTATACTTTACTGACTGCCAGCCCCCCCCCCCCCCCCCCCCCCACGCGTTGATATTAATTTGTCACAAAATGTTTCACTTCTACCCCCTCCCTCCCTCCTTAGCTTGGATGTAAAAATATGGCGGTATAAATATAGTCATCAATACCCAATTTTAAAAGTATTTAGATTTTTATTAAACAAAAACAAATCTCTTCTTTTTTTATTGTTTCAAGCTGTTTTAAGTTAAATCACGTGAGTATTGAACCGAATGTGATTTTTTGTGTACAACGTAAATATAATTTTACGTTTGTTCTTTAGCGTTTGATAGAATTATAAGCTTAATAATTATCATCTTTTCTCGCTCGTGTCCAAGACACATAAGGCAGATTATGTAGAGTTCATCTGTTTCAAAGACCTCGGCATACAAGTGGAAAGTGTGGTCAGTACTATGCCCAGCCGCCTTAGTTTCCCAAACGTGAGTCAGGTACCTATCCAAGTTCAGTGGACTCAGAGACGTGCTACGGCTCTAGCCAGGAACCCGAACTTGAGACTTTCATACTAGCATTCTTAAGCTCTACCATTCGACCACGCCGCTAAACACAGCAGGTGCTAAAGCAAAGCGATTATCACTGGCCTTATGCCAACCTCAACCTCCCTTTTAGTCATCTAAATATCTTTCTTGGTCAAATTACTTTTTTTCACGGACATAGTACGACAATGGAAACCATGACGTACCCCAAAGATCACAACACAGCCCGAAGGAGGACCGGCCGTCATATCAAAGATCACCACAAAGATCATAACAAAGATCAGATCACCGTGAAACAGTGTTTGCCAACATTACCGCTGTGATCACCCAACCGTGAAATCCCCCGTCGACTGAAACCCGAACTACGTGAAAAGAAAATGGCGTCAACGGAACCGTTAAATTCTTTTCCCTGACTAGCATTTCATTTCCGGGATTAGCTCTCCGATCATGCGAAACTGGGCGTGGCAATTGAACAGCCATGGCCAGGAACAAACCCAACCCCACATCCCCCCAAATAATTGTTTTTGTCCGCTCAACGACGGTCATTATTTAAACTAACGTCAGAATTGTTCCGTGATCGAGTTAAAAAAGGCGCACCGGAAATTCTCGGGTTATTTTGTATTTCAATAAAAACCCGATTCTCTTCGGCAATGCGCATCCTAATTATGATTGGTTTCATTTCATGATAT